AAAATTGTTGATTTTAAAAAAAAAAAAAAAAAAAGTGCTTCTAGACCATGATATACTGACTAGCTCTTTTGACTATCAAAAGCATTTACATAAAATTAGTCAAAAGAGTTTAAAAATAGCTTTTGAATCTCAAAAATCCCTTTTGGACCTTTAAAAAGCCATGCCAAACAAGCCTTGAGCTTCATTGACCCACAAAAACATGGCTTTGCATTTCTTTCTTTAAGAAGATATTCAAGATTTTTCATTATGACAAACTCAAAAATGCAAAACCCCTACATCTGGAACCCTTGAGAGTCAAAAGGTTTGAGACGACTCGTAAAGGTCGTAATGCTAGAGGAATCATTACCACAAGGCATAGAGGGGGAGGCCATAGGCGAACCACTTGACATGACTTTTATTTTACTCCAGAGTTTTTGGAGGGAGCCTAATACTTGTTTGAAACTAATTTTTAGAAGAATTTTTTTTTCAGAAGTGATTTTAGAAGAAGTTACATTGGACCAACTTCCTCTAAAAGTTTTTCTAACAATAAGAAGCACTTTCATAAAATAAATTAAACGAGTTCGAAAATTGCTTTTAGATCTCAAAAGCTCCTTCTGATTTTCTACCCGACCCGACCCGACCCCACTCCACTTTTCCCCACTCCTAATCCCTTCCAAACCCTCATATATCCCTCATCCCAAAACCCTCTTATATCCCTCGAACTGCGGGCTGGTAAATCAGTTCGCATGGCTTTTTGTTCTTAATCCCAAACATCATCGTTCGAGGAGACGACACCTGAGATGGACCATTAGGGCTACCGTTGTTCAACCCTCCGGTTCTCCCAAGTCCCACCTGATCAGCTTCAGACCTGGATCAATGTTGACTGTGGTGAATCAGACTCAAAAATGCAAAACCCCTACATCTGGAACCGTTGAGAGTTAAAAGGTTTGAGACAACTCATAAAGGTTGTAATGCCAGAGGAATCATTATCGCAAGGCATAGAGGGGGAGGTCATAGGCGAACCACTTGACATGACTTTTATTTTACTCCAGAGTTTTTGGAGGGAGCCTAATACTTGTTTGAAACTAATTTTTAAAAGAATTTTTTTTTTTCAAAAGTGATTTTAGAAGAAGTTACATTGGACCAATTTCCTCTAAAAGTTTTTCTAACAATAAGAAGCACTTTCATAAAATAAATTAAACGAGTTCAAAAATTGCTTTTATATCTCAAAAGCTCCTTCTGATTTTCTACCCCACCCGACCCCACTCCACTCCACTTTACTTTTCCCCACTCCTAATCCCTTCCAAAACTCTCCTATATCCCTCACCCCAAAACCCTCTTGTATCCCTCGAACTAGGGGCTGGTAAATCAGTTTGCATGGCTTTTTGTTCTTAATCCCAAACATCATCGTTCGAGGAGATGGCACCTGAGATGGACCGTTAGGGCTACCGTTGTTCAACCCTCCGGTTCTCCCAAGTCCCATCTGATCAGCTTGAGACCTGGATCAACGTTGACTGTGGTGAACCGGACATCATACAACCCTTCTAGAAAATGAAACATGCAAATAAGAAATTGATAAGAAAACGTAAAAAGTAAGGCAAACAGAAAGAAAAAGAGATAAAATTACAAAAAATGGCACCTCAAGATTTTGAGGCTTGGTGGGGTTGAGATGTTGAGCGAGTTAAACTCAGCAAGTAAGTCTTCTTTGTCGCTCTCTGTTTTGGGAGAAGTGGAGAACCCATTGAATAGGTGCCAAAATCGTAGGAAAATTTAGTGGGGAAGCAGAACTCGAAAACTTGCTCAGTTTTTTTGTTGAATTCATTCTGAATGACAAAATCCTTGTCAGTGAGGAACTCCGATGGCAAACAAAACTCCGATCCTTGAACCACATCAGCGAGCAAAAACCAAAAAGAGAAACAAAAGTTGGGGGAATTTTTAAAAAAAAGTGCTTCTAAACCATGATATATTGACTAGCTCTTTTGACTATTAAAAGCATTTAAATAAAATTAGTCAAACGAATTTAAAAATAGCTTTTGAATCTCAAAAATCCCTTTTCGACCTTTAAAAAAGCCATCATTGATCCACAAAAACATGGCTTTGCATTTCTTTCTTTCAGAAGATATTCAAGATTTTTAGTTATGACAAACTCAAAAATGCAAAACCCCTACATCTGGAACCATTGAGAGTCAAAAGGTTTGAGATGACTCGAAAAGGTCGTAATGTCAGAGGAATCATTACCGCAAAGCGTAGAGGGGGGAGTCATAGGTGAACCACTTGACATGACTTTTATTTTTACTCCAGAGTTTTTGGAGGGAGTCTAATTCTTGTTTGAAACTAATTTTTAAAAGAATTTTTCTTTTTCAGAAGTGATTTTGGAGGAAGTCACGTTGGACCAACTTCCTCTAAAAGTTTTTCAAACAATAAGAAGCACTTTCATAAAATAAATTAGATGAGTTCAAAAATTGTTTTCAGATCTCAAAAACTCCTTCTGATTTTTCAAAATGCATGACAAACAGGCCCAACATCAGTGAGGTAATGATTCGCAAGGTAAGTCATAAGACAGGTAAGATGAAATTTTGACACATATTTCCTTCCTTTCTTTTTCTGCCTCCTTTCTCAATCTTCTACAAATTCTTTCAAAGAACAGTAGCAACTGTAGGGTGCCAGATCAGATGCATCTCAAATGTACTCTCAAGCTACTAATTCATTGCAATTAAGTTCAAGGTTGCTCATCAATGTTAGAATCTGACTGTAATACGAAGAGAGGTACACTCATGTCAACACAAAATGTATTCTGCTGACTTAGCTTCCAAATGTAGAAAAAATAAACGTAAATGAATTCAACATATTTCAACTATTTTTTGATAAAATAAAGCAAAAACTAAACAACATATATGTACAGCTAGCACAACACCAATTCTATTCACGGATGGGAAAATAAAAATTATTAAGTTTCTATCAAAGGATATGACTTCCAAGAAAGATAAACAGACAGTATAAGCTATAAAGTACACATGGATTGATACAAGCAGAGAGAAAAAAACTCAACGAGACAGAGGTCTAAGGGTATAAAAAATAGGTTTAAAGCCAAGGTGTGGGTTAGGGTCTCATACTCTGAATAGATTGAGCTTCACTGATCCTGCAAAACTTGGCATTAAGTTTTTTTTCTTGCAAATTCGTAGATTTTCGAGAGAAATCATTGATAAAACCTCTTCAAAAGGAAGAAAAATCCCACATTTTGGAACCACTGAGATGATGAAATCCATCAAAAAGGTTCTTATTGGCATTTCTGCTGAAGAGTGGTATGATGAAATTTTGTTATGACTCATCCACTTATAATTATTGAGTGCGAGGTATGCTGAAATTCTGTTACGTCTTGGCATCGGAGCTTCTATGAGGGAAAATCTGCTGCCTTTTCAGGTGCATGGAAGAGGAAGGAGGCTGAATACGCATGTTACTGAAGGTGAAAATCATTGGCCATAATGCTTGTTTCAAGTACTATAGTTTTCCCAAAACCAACAGTGCACATGAGAAATAGAATAATGGAATTGTTTCAGCAGGGAATCAAAACATTCTAAATATCAACAAAATGTTACAAGTTCTTATGCATTGTCTAGAATGGAACAACTGGATTAAGGCTACCAACATGAACTATTGTTTGAAAATTGCTTGGCATCCCTTGAAATGTAAGATTCTTAAACTCTCCAGTATCTGGATTATAGCAAACCAAAGTTCCTCCTTTGTACTCCACCAAGATTTCACCTGTCTTCATAACGCATAGAATCCGGACTGAATTCCCACCCAAAAAGTTATGCAAACTCACTCCCCCATTCTGCAATTCAGGACCAATAATCCTTGGAGAGTAGGCTCCAAGAGTAAACATCTTCACCCAAGACTCTGGTACACCATATTCTTTCATCACCCAAATATCCAGAGCCCCATTACCCAAATGCGTGGCAGCAGAGAGGAAACCCCCCAAAACAGCAAGATGACTGCTCGTCCATTTTAAGGCACCAGAGTCTGGGTTTGGGATCTCTCGAAATGAATCATTAGAAAGGTCAAAGGATACGATGATCCGACCAGGCCGTGAAGTGTACTTGGCCAGTTGACTCATCCAGTGAAGTCTCCCACTTACCAAAACTCCTGGTGAAGACCTTTTCTCTAGTCTGTAAGGTGTTTCCCCTATGCTGCTCCATTCATTGGTACCCAAATTATAAATCTGAACATCTGATCTAAGTGATGTCATTAATCCGTTGCATTTCCTAGCAATTTTAAGATTGTTGGCATTCGGATAGTAAACTATCTTGATCACTTTGTACTCTTTAGTAATTGGATGGAACCCAAATCCAAACATGACAATCTGATCTTGGATTTTAATAGACTTTGGTATCACTTTATAGTCCCTTGTAAACGGATTGTATATGTATACGGAATCAGCTAATGATGAATCAATTAAGCATAAAAGGCCATTGACTGAGCCAATCACACTAAATTCTGGCGTGAAATCAGAAAAGGGAGTATCAAATTTTCTCACTATTTGATTGTCGTCGTCATCCAAAAACTCAAGAAAATGAAGCTGGTTTCGAAGCGGATATTTAGAATGGAAAATGAGGCATACCCTTTGATAAATCATTGTCATGGACATGTGCATATGAACGAGAAGTGGATCACAAGACAACAGGTTCCATGATCGACAAGCAAACCTGGATTGGATAACAGATTTGATAGGCAATCTAGACAGTATGTCAAGGGCGATTTCATTTGGCAAACAACTTAAACTATTTGTGGTCTCATCTTCTTCTTTATAGCACTTCCTGTTCTTGAAATCCATGCTCTGATTGCTATCAGGAATCAAAAGGGTGATTGGATTTAAAGAAAGCTTGAAAATGTCATGATATTGCAATTATTGTTTCGAGCAGTTGACCGTCTAAGAAGTTGGAAACCACACAATCGTCCTTTCAAAATTAAATTTTGACTTTGAACAGATTTATGGTCGAAAATTGACGACTGGGACTAGAGTGCAACAATAGTAAAAGTTTGACATAGAACATGTTTCTTTTTGAAGGTTAATACCCAACTTGCTATTCAGACAATATCAATGCTACAATTATTTCTTTAGGCCCCCCGCCCTCCCCCCGCCCCCTTCCTTCTTTCCGCGGCAAATGAGTGCTTTTAGCTCATTTTTTGAGTTTGCTTTGCTCGAGTTGAATATTTCATATATAATAGTCACTTTGTTATACTCATGGATGGAATTCGAATCCAAATACAACGATTTCACCATGGAATTCAATGAACTTCACTTTTATAGTCCCTTGTAAAATGATTGTATATGAATATCGAGTTAGCAAATAATGAATTAACCAAGCACATAAAGGCCGTTGCACAAACCAATCATACTATATTCTGGAAAATGGAGTATCGATTTTTCTCACAATTTCATAGTCATCAATAGCAGAATATTTAACAAACTAATGCTGGCTCCGAATTCAATAATCTCAGTGGAAAATTAGGCAAACATTTGATCAATCACTGCCCTGGACATGTACATACTAACGAGGTGTGGATCATGAGAAAATAGGCGCCATGATCGAAAGCCTAAATTGGAAAATGGGCAGCCTAAGGAATATGTCAAGGACGATTTCATGTGGCAAACAACTTAACCGATTTCTGGATTCATCTTCTTCCTTCTTGCACTTCCTTTTCTTGAATTCTCAATGGTTAGAAAATTTTGGCAGATAGGCTACGGCAGTCCATTTGGCTTTTTCTTAATAACAAAAGATTGAAATGGTGACTGGAACTAAAGAAAGGTTTCTTTCTTATTTATTATTCAAACTTAAGCAAGAAGCACAAACAAAATACAAGTTTAACTGTCCTTCGAGAAGAGTTTTTGTAAAACGTGCTTGCATGCTTATAACCGAGTTCCAAGTGATGATACTTACTTGAAATCACAAAATCGAGGTTGAATTACTTGACTTTGATTCGCTTGCTTTCCACACCATCTTGTACCCGCCTCTTGGTCAGAAATTCGATCACAATGAAAGGAATTTGATAGTCACAATCCAAGAACCCAATTTGAGATGTTATATTCCAAAATTCAAGTCTTTTTCCTCATGTATTTTCTTCCACGCCCTTTAACCCGAATTTTCTTTTGTTCTTTCTTCAGAAGGATGAATAACGAAAGTTGATGGGAGTTATTGGAGGTGGGGAGGTTAACTTTTAAATTCAATAAACTCTCCAGTATCTGGATTATAGCAAACCAAAGTTCCTCCTTTGTACTCCACCAAGATTTCACCTGTCTTCATAACGCATAGAATCCGGACTGAATTCCCACCCAAAAAGTTATGCAAACTCACTCCCCCATTCTGCAATTCAGGACCAATAATCCTTGGAGAGTAGGCTCCAAGAGTAAACATCTTCACCCAAGACTCTGGTACACCATATTCTTTCATCACCCAAATATCCAGAGCCCCATTACCCAAATGCGTGGCAGCAGAGAGGAAACCCCCCAAAACAGCAAGATGACTGCTCGTCCATTTTAAGGCACCAGAGTCTGGGTTTGGGATCTCTCGAAATGAATCATTAGAAAGGTCAAAGGATACGATGATCCGACCAGGCCGTGAAGTGTACTTGGCCAGTTGACTCATCCAGTGAAGTCTCCCACTTACCAAAACTCCTGGTGAAGACCTTTTCTCTAGTCTGTAAGGTGTTTCCCCTATGCTGCTCCATTCATTGGTACCCAAATTATAAATCTGAACATCTGATCTAAGTGATGTCATTAATCCGTTGCATTTCCTAGCAATTTTAAGATTGTTGGCATTCGGATAGTAAACTATCTTGATCACTTTGTACTCTTTAGTAATTGGATGGAACCCAAATCCAAACATGACAATCTGATCTTGGATTTTAATAGACTTTGGTATCACTTTATAGTCCCTTGTAAACGGATTGTATATGTATATGGAATCAGCTAATGATGAATCAATTAAGCATAAAAGGCCATTGACTGAGCCAATCACACTAAATTCTGGCGTGAAATCAGAAAAGGGAGTATCAAATTTTCTCACTATTTGATTGTCGTCGTCATCCAAAAACTCAAGAAAATGAAGCTGGTTTCGAAGCGGATATTTAGAATGGAAAATGAGGCATACCCTTTGATAAATCATTGTCATGGACATGTGCATATGAACGAGAAGTGGATCACAAGACAACAGGTTCCATGATCGACAAGCAAACCTGGATTGGATAACAGATTTGATAGGCAATCTAGACAGTATGTCAAGGGCGATTTCATTTGGCAAACAACTTAAACTATTTGTGGGCTCATCTTCTTCTTTATAGCACTTCCTGTTCTTGAAATCCATGCTCTGATTGCTATCAGGAATCAAAAGGGTGATTGGATTTAAAGAAAGCTTGAAAATGTCATGATATTGCAATTATTGTTTCGAGCAGTTGACCGTCTAAGAAGTTGGAAACCACACAATCGTCCTTTCAAAATTAAATTTTGACTTTGAACAGATTTATGGTCGAAAATTGACGACTGGGACTAGAGTGCAACAATAGTAAAAGTTTGACATAGAACATGTTTCTTTTTGAAGGTTAATACCCAACTTGCTATTCAGACAATATCAATGCTACAATTATTTCTTTAGGCCCCCCGCCCTCCCCCCGCCCCCTTCCTTCTTTCCGCGGCAAATGAGTGCTTTTAGCTCATTTTTTGAGTTTGCTTTGCTCGAGTTGAATATTTCATATATAATAGTCACTTTGTTATGCTCATGGATGGAATTCGAATCCAAATACAACGATTTCACCATGGAATTCAATGAACTTCACTTTTATAGTCCCTTATAAAATGATTGTATATGAATATCGAGTTAGCAAATAATGAATTAACCAAGCACATAAAGACCGTTGCACAAACCAATCATACTATATTCTGGAAAATGGAGTATCGATTTTTCTCACAATTTCATAGTCATCAATAGCAGAATATTTAACAAACTAATGCTGGCTCCGAATTCAATAATCTCAGTGGAAAATTAGGCAAACATTTGATCAATCACTGCCCTGGACATGTACATACTAACGAGGTGTGGATCATGAGAAAATAGGCGCCATGATCGAAAGCCTAAATTGGAAAATGGGCAGCCTAAGGAATATGTCAAGGACGATTTCATGTGGCAAACAAATTAACCGATTTCTGGATTCATCTTCTTCCTTCTTGCACTTCCTTTTCTTGAATTCTCAATGGTTAGAAAATTTTGGCAGATAAGCTACGGCAGTCCATTTGGCTTTTTCTTAATAACAAAAGATTGAAATGGTGACTGGAACTAAAGAAAGGTTTCTTTCTTATTTATTATTCAAACTTAAGCAAGAAGCACAAACAAAATACAAGTTTAACTGTCCTTCGAGAAGAGTTTTTGTAAAACGTGCTTGCATGCTTATAACCGAGTTCCAAGTGATGATACTTACTTGAAATCACAAAATCGAGGTTGAATTACTTGACTTTGATTCGCTTGCTTTCCACACCATCTTGTACCCGCCTCTTGGTCAGAAATTCGATCACAATGAAAGGAATTTGATAGTCACAATCCAAGAACCCAATTTGAGATGTTATATTCCAAAATTCAAGTCTTTTTCCTCATGTATTTTCTTCCACGCCCTTTAACCCGAATTTTCTTTTGTTCTTTCTTCAGAAGGATGAATAACGAAAGTTGATGGGAGTTATTGGAGGTGGGGAGGTTAACTTTTAAATTCAATATTTTAACTCCTCCCTCCAAAACCCATTTCCATGCAAACTGGGTTGGGTCAACCCACATTGGCGACTCGTTTTCTTTCAACATCTCTCACTCGCACATGATGGGCTTGACCTGATTCTAATATAATATCAATTATATTAATCTCAATATCTCCAAGTTCATACAGGTAACTAAATCGTGCGACCAGCGAGTTAATTTAAGAGCACACAACACTATACACCTGTGAGAGATATATAGCAGCTCTAGAAGAAAAATTATATTTTTCGCTATACCCCAGACATATTTTGTAACACCAGTTCGAGTATTTTTTACCCCTCAATTCATTTTAGAACATACTCAACTTTCTCATTTATATTATATTCACAACTGTGTCACAAAACTCAAATAATTAACACAATTGTCCGGTCGGTGAATACAAATTGAGGTGTTAGTTAAATAGTCTTCCTTTCCTACTTGAATTCCTTCATTTCAAGTCAGCTGCATTCCTAGACATGTCCCATCAAACCGAGTCAATCATAGTTATTGGCAACATGCTAAAGTAGCAACACTGAAATAAAATTTTGAGAAACAGTCAAAAGTCATAAGGGTACATATAAGCGAGGTCAAATGTGCCTCAAAGACTCACACAATGAAGAAGCATGGATCAATTCTTTCATTTCTCAGTGGTCGTTAAAGCACGAATGGTATGAAACACGTGTTACGATATTTTCTCCCTTTCTTAGGGCGTATGTCTAATCTTGCAAATTAAATACATCATACAAATTATAGTTCAGATATTCCTCGATATTTAACTTGAGTTCTCCTTATATTCATTCCTCCAAGCATTCTCAAATCGAGAACTCGATCTGGCTAGTAAACGAGTTTAATGGATAGAAAAATTCATTTCAATTACTTATTGTAATCTCATCTTGATACCTTAACAAGGTGATTGGATCATGTACACAACATGATCATTATCAAGGCTACAAGATCATGTACACAACATGATCATTTTGTCTCATCTCAAAACGTCTGAGGTGATTGCTCGTGTGAGTGAGCCAATTTGAACCCGTTCAACATACTTTATATGTGTATACAAATCATTTATCTCATAATCTCAACATTAGATTACACATGAATTCAAAATTGTTCATCTATGGGCACATAAAACTCAATCAAGAGTTTGTCTGATATACCAAGTATCAT